TCTATACCTCAGTCACCTCTATGATAGAATCTGTCCATTTAGTGTTTGTATGAATAGTTTTAAGAATTAAATGTAAGTATTCTGTAAAAGGAGAATGATAGAGCAAAAGTATAAAACCCATTTGAATGGCAATTTCACGTTATCAAAGGTTTAAAGTTAAGTTGCAGCCTATGTTGCTTCCTGTGCCGAGCTGGGTGAATTCAACTAACGTTGGCCTCAAAATCGCTTTCGTCTTACTGTATTTGTTTCACAGATTTGAGCTTCTCAGTTTGGTGATGTAGTGCCAGCCCAATTTATTGTGAACGTTGATATGGCATGCTTTTCGTTAATATGGCATGCTTAATCGCAAAGTTAAGAATTAGTTAATTCACGATTATCTCAAAATGGTCAGGAAAACAAAAAGCCCCTTTTTTTTCAAAGGTGTAGCAAAGCCTAGTCAAAGCCGAGGTTCTCAAATTTTACTTTATTTCCTTTTTACCCGTCTCTAGTCAAGGACACTTTAAGGTAGTATCTATGAACAATAAAGTAAGATTTAGTCATCCAAACCTTACCAGAGGATTCTATAAATACAAAAAAAAAACTGTTGGATTTAGTATTCTCTGAAGTTATTTCTTAATTAAAGAATTATCTGTCTCTATAACTTGACTGTATAACCTCTAGAGTGAAATTTAAAAAAGGGGTGTGTGAAGTAGACGATATCTTGGTAACAATTCCCCTTCAGGTTGCAAGAAATACTTTGTTTACCTTTTATAGGAGGCAATCTTTGCCAAAAGTTATAACACAACGCCCCACGTCTTGGTTTCTGCTTCTCACTCGACAAAAGGAGGGAATCAAAGGCCAGTTCATAACAGCATAGCTGCCTGGGTAGAGGTTGGTAACTAGTCATGTCAGGATATCAAATTTCATATTAAATTAAGAGTAGTATAGTAAAGAACTAATTAACCTAATTAACGAATCTCGTTATTCTGCTGAGGAATACACACTTTTGTCTTTATTCCTTGAGTAGTAACCTGTGAATAATCGTAATAATAATAATAATAATAATAATAATAATAAAAATTATTAAACCTGTCAGTGAAAGCTGATAGAGCGGTTTTCACTTGACTGTCGTAAAACCAAAACCAAAGTAAATACACTAGCCAACCAAAGGGCGTAGTAAAACCAAAACCAAAACCAAAACCAATCCCTTTCGACAGTCAAGTGAAAACCGCTCTATAAATGGGGAAAACGATACCAATTTCAGCACTGAAGAATACAGGCAACTACAACAAATAATGATAAAAATAAGTAGTTAGAGCTGTATACTGGTGCTTGGGCACCAGTGAAAAAAGTGCCTTTCTTCGCAGATTCTGTGCGTACTGTAGAAATTAAAGTTTCTAAACATAGGTGGAATCTCATTAACATAGGTCGTGTGCCATTTTAAAGTGGTTTAGCCGGTTTTACACGGGGGCTTTTTAGAACTTGATAGGGAAACAAATGCTTTGCTTTTTGATTGGTTGACTAAAAAAAGTAAAGTATTTATTTGTTGATTGATGCTGTCAAAGTAATAAGCGCTAGCTCCCCTTTGACATGAAATTGCTGGGTAAGTATTCAGTTCTGCTGCTTTCATTGCCCCAAATTTTTTTCCAGTTTTGATTCTTGGCGAGCAAATCGTGCATATATTGATGAGTTCGAAGACAAACTAGCTCTTTCTAATAACAAACCGAATTTTTAACTTACCCGAGTCCCCCTTCTCCTCCTCCACAATTCAGTTTTTTCGCTTCACCTTCCTTTTTTGATTTTCCTTTAAGCACGAAAACCACCACCACAGCCTCCGCCACCACATTACTATTGTTTTCCCACCACCACCACCTTTCTATTGTTTTCCCTCTTCCTCCACCACCACCACTGCTACCACCAAATTTCTAGTGTTTTCCCTACTCCACCACCACCACCACCACAATCCAATGCATATTTCCACCACCACCACCACATTCCAATGCACATTTTAGTACTAATGTTTAGTGCTTTTACATACAGTATATTAGCAGGAAAGGCTTTCGGGTTTGTGTCAAAGAACTGTATGAGGCAAAATACGACCCACTCTTCATATCCTACATAGTTTTGTCGGGTAAGAACTTTACTGCTTAAAAGAGAAGATTTTTTTCTGGTATATCTTTCAATATTGTCTCTTATTTGTGACTCAATGCCGTGATTTATACGCACAGATATCTGTCCAGATGGATGGGATTACTTCAATGGATACTGCTATTTAACAAGCTCTGTATGCGCACCTTGGGTGACTGCAGTGTCCAACTGTTCAATGATGAACTCACATCTGGTAACAGTGCACAACCAAGAGGAAAATGTCTACATACAGCACCGTCACAATGGCGAGCGATCATGGATTGGCCTTAATGACCGAAGCGTTGAGGGATCGTTTGTGTGGAAAAACAAGGAAATAATCCGTTTTCAGTACTGGGCTCCGCAACAACCAAACAACTTGAAAAACGAAGACTGTGTCCACGCCCTTGGTGCAGAGCATGGCTACACTTGGAACGACGTGTCATGTGATAAATGCTATAACTATACTTGTGTGAAAGGCAAGTTTTGAGTTACCATAGAAATACTACAAATCCAAACCTTTGTCACCAATAACGAGGTTTGAAGATCACTTCTGCAGTAGTGAGTTTTTATGATAATTTTATCGCCGTGTTGTTGATCAGAATTATATAAAGTCTGCATTTTTATGTAGCCGTCTTTCAGGCGGTAGTCTAAATATTTAGGTACTCCAAAAAAAAAATCTTCATGTGAATTATAATACTGCTACCAAGTAAGATCACGGTGATAAAATGGTCTTCATTGACTTTTGTTGTCTACTGCAGAAATTGACGAATGCATCAGCAGTTATCACAGGTGTGATCCAAACGCTGCTTGTCAGAATACCTTGGGCTCATACATTTGCACTTGCAAAGCTGGGTTCTATGGAAATGGAAAAAAGTGCTATGGTAACGATCACAATCCTTTTTTATGCTTTCCTGACCTTTGCATTCTGGTTGGCTGTTGAGTTAACATATTTGCCTTTTAAGGTAACTAAGGTACTATATTCTTTTAAATCCAATATGTATAGATCAGAACTTACTAATAATCTAAAAAAACTAACTAAGAATTACAATGGGCATTCTCGGTCTTCGCTTTGACAATTAATTAGGCACATAGAATATCTGCTAATAGCACATTTAGTGTCCTGTCGGCTCCGTTCTGCGCTCAGGTTTGATTTTTAATGTGATATATATATTTTGTTCAACTTGTCAGTTAGTTTAAATTTATCATACATTGGCATACGTCAAAACAAAGTAATAAAAAATTACCAGCACATAATTTACTTAGTCAGGATTCACTGACTACTCAGATGATCATTTTTGTTTTCTCCGTCATTAGATATTGATGAATGCAGCAACAAAACCCATACCTGTGACGTAAATGCAGTTTGTAGCAACACTCAAGGCTCTCACAACTGCATTTGCAAACCTGGATACTCTGGAGATGGAAAGAAATGCATTGCAGTTGGTATGCAGCATCCCTACAGAATTCCTATGATATTGTCTATAATTATTTTATACTGTTTAGTACGGAAAGCTGGTTCAGTTTACGAATATTTTGCCTAAATATAGACAGTTGGGCTTAATTTGGTAGATGTTTAGCGACATTATTCTTGGCCTGAATTTCTTACAGAGTTTCTCATACAGCTTGCAGTACAGTGTATAAAAAGCAGATATTATTGTTGACTTTATAAGTTGTAAAGTAGCCATATCCTGCCAAATGTTGAGTAAACACGCAGTGCTAATGTCATGTCTTCCAGGTTATAAGAACTGTGCTGAACTGTACAAAGCTGGAAAACGAACAAGTGGAGTTTACAAGATCGACCCAGACGGTGCTGGTGCATTTGACGTGTACTGTGACCAAACAACAGCCGCTGGGGGGTGGACAGTGTTCCAAAAGAGACTGGATGGCTCGGTTAATTTCTACCGCGGCTGGAACGACTACAAAAAAGGGTTCGGAAATCTGAATGGCGAGTTTTGGCTCGGACTGGACAAAATTCACCGCCTGACAAAAACTAAAAGCAAACTTCGAGTGGATCTCGAGGACTTCAACAGAAACACGGCTTATGCCGAGTACAGCTACTTTGCTGTAACAGCCGAGAGAAGCAAATACAAGCTGAGTCTTGGAACTTACTCCGGTAATTGTATTACTAACTTGATTAAAAATGGAGTTCGGGGAAACGTCTTATAAATGCCCAAGACGAAGTTAATGCTAATGATTTTGACGTTAAAGAAATAAATACTCACCTCAGAGATACAGTTAGTCCCACATGCAATGAAGTATGTAATAATCACACAGCTGTCATGAAATAAGAGTACTTCAAATTAATATAATATGGAGCGTTAGAGTGATTTTACTTCGACCATGAAACGGATTCAATGTTTCCTACTGTCTTTAGATCTTAACCATCGTATTGAAAATCACAGTAATGTGGAGAAAAATTTAAGGAAATATCATATGTTCCAATTTCATTTTCCAGGAAATGCTGGTGACTCGCTAGCTCGTCATAGAGGCTACCCTTTCTCCACCAAAGACCGAGACAATGACAGCGGGACTGTTAACTGTGCTACAAGGTTCAAAGGGGCCTGGTGGTACGACGACTGTCATCAGTCCAACCTGAACGGCCTCTATCATCGCGGTAGACACTCTTCACGTGCTGATGGTGTGAACTGGTATTACTGGAAGGGATATCACTATTCCGCTAAACGAGCTGAAATGAAACTCAAACCATTCAACTTCTAAACCAACAAACAGCTGTTTTCAGTGCTTATATCTGCTTGATTCGCAATGGTCGTTTAAATAACTTAGCTGTATCACTCATTTTGTTAGACTGCTGCAGAAATAATAAATTAAGCATAACAAACTATTTTCACATATTTGATAGAAAAAACTATAAAATAAAAGACGTCACAATTGGCTTTCGCAATTTACGATATTGTTTCTCATTTATACTAACTGCCTTCTGTCCTATTAGTCTTTCTTCTCCCGATTCTCTGAACTTTATGGTTTTTTAAATACTTCTTCTATTCTTGCTTTATATATCCGTTATGGCTCAGTCAATTCCGAGTATGCCCCCCCCCCCTCCCCCTCCCGGGGATTTGTCAATTCTTCTAGAAACGGTTAACATTGTTCCTTTGTCAATACTTCACTTTAAAATATGCCTATTTTGATAGCTATTGATTTTTTTATAAAGAATATTTTGAATACACATGCTTTAAAAAGATACGTGTAGTTTTCGCTTCATCACCACGCTACCACAATATATTTGTTGCGTCCGTCTAAGGAACTGCTTCCCGCGATCCCGTCAACGTGATCAGTTCGCACAAGGAGGAAAAACAATGAATGCATCATTAAAAAGAAAAGACGCTTTCTTTGTGAGCGAATGGTTGAGGCAGAGAGGCAGAGAAAAACTCTGCGAGATATTTAAAAGCTATAATATAAACTTCTTTTTTTGTATGATCAATGCCACGACGTTGCCGAAACGGGTCCGTCGTGATGACAAAATAATCATGTTTATAAGCTTGTCGGTTATTTGTTTGTCATTCACCATTTAAAACACCTTCGAAAAAAAGAAAGGTGTTATTAAAACTCTAGTTTATAGTTCTGTAATTGATATTAATCACTTCGGATAAATCTTTTTTGCAATAGTTATAACTGGCGGCTAGGAGGGCGGATTTCCGATGTGTGTTTCACGCCTTTTGGTCAGATTATTACAGATTTCGTATAAACTAATAATGGCTTTTGCAGCTTATTTACTGTAAAATGCAATGTTAGTGTTGGCCCGGGGTGGGGCATTCGCCCACTTTTTTATGCCCCACCGTGGGGTTTTTGGATGAACCGCCCGGTCCAACCGTGTGTCATTTGCAGCTTTTCCAAAAAAAAAAATAATAAAAAATGCCCGGGGGAAGGTGGGATGGGCACGCTAAGAATTGCCTGAACCATTATTGACCAAGCAGAAGGTCAAGATGGCTGGATATTGGCGAAGTTCGTCTGTCCGTTTTTATGGACCGAGTCGAGGCCAATAGACAGCCATCTTGATCGAATAAGCTTGGTATATAAACGATTTTAAAATATTATTATATGGCCAAAAAGACAACATTTTCTTGGGTAACAACGCGAGAAATTCTGAGCCCGCCAATCAGAACGCAGGATTCGTTTCATCTTGCTTGCTCACGGATTCAGCCATGTAATAATTGAACACTAAGTTCACGAGTCCATTACAGCGTAGAGTGCTTTTGATTAACTTGCGCTCTCATATGCGATAGAGGTGTAGAAACGTTTAGCAAGCACATTCCGAACAAAAATAAAGCCTTCAAGAGATTTTTCACCTTACCAAAAAAAGGTAACTGATACAAGCACATGCATTGCAGATCAATTACTCATTGAGCAATGAATTAAGACCAGCAGAGCGAACAAGGAACATTTCAGTTCACCCAAAAGCATTTCAGGTCATTTCAGGCTGTTTTATCGTACAGTAAGAGCTGCTGTCTATAAATAAAAGGTTTATTATGTTTATTAAATCGACATTTCTTTAACATTTCAAACACTGAAGTTATCTTTTCAGCTTTTTCGAAATATCACGTGAACTATCTTAAGAAATGTGAAAAACAAACCAGAAAAATACAGCTTTCTGAATTCATTCATGTAGAGATGTGCCACGGGTTTGGGGGAGGCAAGGAAATTTGGTAAAAAATGATGACGTCGAACTGCATTGAATCATGAAAATACATGACAGATTTTGTGATAAGAGAGCTTTTTTTCTTTAAAGTCATATCTCATCTAACGATGTCGAGCAAAGAGCCATACAGAAAAAATACTGGCAGTTTCGAATTTCTTTTCTCTAATATCATCAGTGACAATCAGTTGTCAGTTAATTGATGGAACGCGCGAACGTGGATGTACATTGTGCAACTGATTTCAATTAATTCTGGTTCACACAGTTTTTCAGTTTGCACTTTTTTTATAACTTACATCTATATGACGCTTTAAAATTCTGTGTCACCTGTCAGGATTGTCACACCACGGTGTTTCTTGTACATCCAGTGCAAGTTCACGTTGAGAATCACGCACGGTGCCCCATTAACAACAAGATTACTGATTAGTCTTTTTAGGAATGTTATACTTGACTGTTGAAACTCCTGTTTCCCTGTCTCTCTGAAACGATACCTGAAAAGACAACATGAACACAAACAAGGAATTTCAAGATTTCAAGTCTAAAGAATGAAAATTCAGATCAGGATGGTATCTAATAACAAATGAAGACTTAACTTCAACGGCTTAAAAACGGCGCGATTATATATTTTCTCCTCGATGTGAATGAAATTTCCGCCTATGATAAACGTCGGAAAAAGAAAGAGTGCTAAGGCGCGCTTCTCAGTAATTTTATATCTGCATTGAAAAAGTCGACGCAAACACCATTTAATTGAGCAAACGTTCTTGAGTAAGAGCGAAAGTTGGAGGGGAAGCCTACTGTTCCCGCCAGGGCTTCTGCGTTAAGCAAAGAAATGCTTAATACGCAGAATATTCCAAACAAATTTAAGTTTTCAATTGAACGTAAACTAATTGGAATTTCTGAAAAGATGAAAAAAACCGTCTTGACAGTTTTGACTGCATTGGTGAAGGGCGATGAAAAGAGCAGAAACAGTATTTTAGGTTTTACAGAAAATCCTATTTTTTTTCACGGCAATACTCAAGGATTTTCATTCAGAAGGAGCTTTAACTGTGTACTTCTTATTAGCCGACAAAGAAACTAACAAAAAAACACAACAACAAAAAACATGTGATCCGTAATTTATAGGATTGGAAGTTACTTCGTGGGTATAGCAAGATATATATCATATGACTTTCTTTTTGTGGAACAAGAATTTGATGTCTTACATACGATTTTACAGAACAAGCAAATAAAAGTGCACTACATGATTCTCTAAGTTGAAAAACAAAAATATTTTATCGTTTTGATGGCTTTTCGGAGATAGGCGCACTTGTAGCTGCATGATTGAAGGAAAAAGAAGGACAATAACAGATCGAGAGATGACTTAACCACGGTATAAACAAGTATCAGTTGCCTACATGTAACTGTGTACCAACCCACCTTCTTCTGGTCATAAAATAAAACCTTGCGTAGTCTAAAATCAATATCAACAGCGTCAAAAAATATTAACGTTAATAGCCACGATGAAGAAATTAAGAATTTGTAACGAGAAAATTTGTGACATTTGAGATTATCGGCCTAGGGTACTTATAGAGGGGTAGATGGAAGTAAATGGGATGTGGATCACAGTGAACATTGAAAAAACTTAGAGTCTTTCCCCCCCCTCTCCCTCCGTTGCCCCCTCCGTTCTCCGCTCCGTTGCTCGCTCCGTTCTACGCTCCGTTCTACGCTCCGTTCCCTATTTTAGCGGAACTCCTCGCGCGCGCGAAGCGCGCGCGCAGCGGAGCACTATGGGTAAGAAAATTTGGTAAACTATACATCCGAGAAAATTTGGTTATGACGTAGCGTACGCCCGCCCGCCCGCCCACCCGTACACACTCTTCATGTAAGCAGATGTCAAATGTCACAGTAGATCTTGCACAACTTGACTAGCCTCTTAGTTATGTAAGCCATCCGTATGAGTACGATTAGATTGACAGCTGTCAAAATCAGATATCCGCTGACAATTATCACCTGACCATCTCGCGGGCTCAGATGAAAGACCAGTCCTTTTACCCCTACATATAAGCTGATATAATATGTCACACTTACCAATTCAACATAAAAACGAAAGTACGCCGGGCAAGGCTATCAGTTGGCTGACAGTCGTTTAAAGTTATATTGGTAAGCCAAACTAAGGTCAATTGACAGCTGTCAAAATGGGACATGTGCAGATCACTATCGGAAAACTAATAACGTGGGCTCAGGTTCCCTCAGGTACACGATCTGGCATTTTCCACTACATGCCGGACGGATATGTCTTACTCACACTGGTAGTCTGTTAATTCGAATATTCGCCATTCTAATGAAGGTTAATTGACAGCTGTCAAACTAGAGTATACGCTGACCATCATCACCTGAGTGTATAGCGGGCTCATTTGTCTATCCATTGAGGTCACGTAGTGTTTAAAGTTTTGCGCTGATATGTTATTTGATCACGGGCTCAATTCGAAGCCCCTAGCCCCATAGCTTAGAAAATCTATTCATCTTAGAAAATTCGGCAATCACGTGACCGTACCCCGACCACCCAACCTTCCGCTTCTCCGCACCACAGGCATACCAATGTTTAATCTCACACTTTCTAGCTAGTTTGGGAGCCTGCAACCTGATATTGTACATCTATGTTTTGATTAATTGACAGCTGTCAAAAAAGGGTTTTTCTGCTGACCTGTATCGCCTGACCCTATCGCGGGCTCAGGTATCGACCCACTGAGTTCGAGTGTTTTTTGCATGTATCCGCTGACAAGTTGCTACTTTTCAATTATCGCAGGCTCAAGTTCAATTTTTTTAAAATGCACATGAAATAAGTCGCGTTCATGAGCCGCACTTTTAAAAAGTTGATTTCGAACTGACCTCGGACGCGAAAATTCAACCGGCTTTTACATTTACATGCAGGGAAGGCAATTACTTTTGACTTTTCTCACTGTCACGCGTTGATCACGCTCTACGTCCAATTTTTATGTTCTGATTGGTCAAACTTTGACAGGTGAGTTCATGCGGAAAAATTATGCAGCGTCTGGAAACTTGCTTACTGATAGCTGGAGCTGACAGAGTTTTGTGTCATCTTGTGATGTTTTAAACTGTCTTTTTCTACTTGGTGTACAAAAAGAAATACATCTGCTATCAAGATTGTTCCGTAATTCATGGCTGGTTTGTTTATTGCGCTTTTTGTTGACAAATGCACCGTTTGTCAAAGTCATGGGAAATCCGATTTTGGATGGCATCGTT